AAGTATTTGCAAACTTACTAGAGTTTATGAAAAAATGTTCAAAATTAGTAACTAGAAAATGTCAATGGATATATTAGGCAGTAGGTTTGGTACCTCCCAAGTAGGACATCCTACCAAACAGATGAGAAGTCACTCAGCTTCATTACCTTTAATGTCAGACAGAAGCAGATTGAAAACTCAAAAAACCTAATGCCAAGGGTTGACGGGGATGTAGAGCAAGCAGAAATACAGACTGATCATTTAGACATATGGGCAAGACCTAATCAAACTGAACATAGCATTTGACCCAGAAAGCAGTCTCTCCTGTGTTTCCAATAGAAATGCTACATGTGTAACAAAAGACTGTATCAGATGTTCTCAGCTGCACCACCCTCATAGCCAAGGAAACTGGAAACTGCCCAACCATACAGCAGCAGCAGATGACCAAACATGGGACCATGGCTATATCAGAACACTACACAGCAAGGCAATAAATACTATTACATCCACATCACAAATGGTCTCCTCAAATACCACGCTAACAAGTCAAAATAATACATATTGCATGAGTCCATTGATGTAAAATTCCACCAAGTGGCAATATTATCACTGGGGTCAGAAGTCAGGATAGTGGTTATCTTGGAACAAGTAGAGGACTATGATGTCAGGAGACCTAGGGGCAATTTTTGATTGGAGCAGTGTTTATATAAATGTATCTATGTTGTTAGTCATTAATGTACTTATGATTTGTGAACTTTTCTAAAGTATTTATGTGTATATGTAAGTGTACCACATGCATGCAATGGCCACAGAGGCCAGAAAGGGGTGTCAGATCCCCCAGAACTGGAATTACAGATAGTTGTTAGCTGCCATGTGGGTGCTGGGAACCCAACCCAGGTTCTCTGCAAGAGCAGCCAGTGTTTGCATGCTTGTAACCATTGAGCCATTTCTCTGGCCCTTATGAAGTTTTACAAATATCCATTAAAATTGTTTTAAAAATATTTACATGGGTAAAGTGGGCATGAAGTCCCAGTCCTAGCTGAGGAACATTTGGCAATTGATAACTTCTGGGAGAGGACGAGTCAGTTTTAAGGGCATGATGCCAGGTAGGTTGACCATATATCAGGGGATGGACCACACTCAAGAGTACAAAGGACAAATTACTCCATAGCTCTGGAAAAAATAAAACATGAAATGTGTGTGGGAGGGGTTGGGGTGGATCTGAGAGGAGATGGAGGAGGGGATGATGATCAAAATCTATTGTATGCAATTCTCAAAGAATCAATAAAAATACTATTGTATTTTAAAAGGTTCACAATCCATAACTTACTTCAAGACCAGTTTAACAATAAGAACTCTTCAGAACACTTCTTGATGTCACTAGAGAACACTGCCGGCTCCTAGTCCAGAAGTGATACTCAGAGGTAAACTTAGTTTATGATTTCTCAGATTTGAGAGCAGAATACCCAAATGTACCAGGAGTACAGCTCCCAACAGCCATTTCAAACAAAAATGAGATATACAGAGTGGAAAATAGGTTTCCTAACTATAAGTATAAAATTAGAAATACAGTTAAGCAAAGTCCTTCTGCCATTATTTGAATTATTTCATTCCACAAGTATTATGGGACTATGTACCCATAACTTCTTGAAGTAAATATTCAGGATATTGTAAAAAATCAGTTTACTTAGCAGGTCACACTTTACTTCTATGATTCATCTCTTGTGATAACAGGCAAATGACTTACTGTGACTCACTTTCCCTATGAAAATGGGTAGTAGTAAAATCTGAGGACTCAAGAGACCCAGGTTTAAGCTCCCACTCCAATGGTTAATCAGCAGCATACAATTATTGCATAAAGGTTAGTCCCTCTTTCCTTTCTTACTGCATTTAATTCTTAAAATGAGCTCACTGAAAAGATCACTTAGATTTTCTTCATGTGTAAATTTTTAACTTCCTTGATGTCTTATCTTGTTTTGTTTCTGCTAAGTATAAATTTAACACGGCTTTTCCTGGGCCCTGAATTTTCTTTTTGTCGATTAAAAATCTAATTGTTGACTCTTGGCAAAAATCCTCAAGCATCATAATCTATTGTCTTCTGTCTACTGTCTTCTGAGTACCCTAACCCTTGTTCCCACCTGGTCAACTCAAAACAAAAATCCCCCGTCCTGGGATCATAAACTCAAAACAGCAAGTCTAGCAAAGACATTTTTTAAAGAACACCGCCATTGTAGAAGGTAGACCTGCAGCTTTCACAAAACCAACTGTAACTGCTACCGTAACATCCAGCAATTGTATTTCTTTACCCAAGATTTGAAAACACTCCACACAAAACCTTGTACAGTTATTTATAGCAACTTCATCTGTCGCTGCCAAAACTCAGACAACTGGCATGTCTTTCAGTAGATAATGGAAAAGTAGTCTCTGGTCCATCCAGACAGTATTCTTTTTCTGAGATAGAAATGAGAAAATCAAACCATGGAAATACACACAGGCATCCTGAGTATTACTCAGCAGAAAGAGCCAGGCTGAAAGATTTACAAAACTCCATGACATCCTGGTAAAAGTGAAAGAGACAGTGAGATCGGTGGCTGCCAAGAGGTAGAGGGGATGGGCTTCAATAAGCAAAGCACAGGATTCTCAGGGCTGTGGAAATCCTGATATCATAACAATGTATATGCATTTATCCAAATCCATAGGCAATACACCACCCAAACTGAATCCAAATGTAAATTATGGGCAATACACTGTGTCAGTGAGGTTCATGAATTGCTGTGGACCACTCTGGTAGGGGATGTTGACAATGGGTATACGTAGGTGTTTGTGGGGACAGGGGCAAAATGACAAATCTTTGTATCCTTCTCTCCAATTACTTTTGCTATGAACCTAAAAGTACTCCAAAATAATAATGTTAAAAGACAGGTATGTAAGCAAAGAGGAAGCTACACCCAGCACTTTAGAATTCTCTTCATGAACCAGGCCCTGACTTTCTGCCCATGTTTATTTTGTACCTTCTTTCCTACATACTGAGTTCCCTTGGCCTTGATGTTAGATATGACTGAATGTTACAATTCCTCCAGAAACACAGTATTTGAGGTTGCTATAATTCTTGGCAGTCAGTAACCAATATAGGTCACAAAAGGAGTATGTGACCTTCTGATATAGTATTAATATGAATTAGCATTTAAAATCACTACACACCTTTGGGAAATAAGTCAAAGTATTTATTTATGACATATTTACATACTTACAGAATTGATTTTATCTAATACATCATTCTACATATCACAAAATGAATACCATATCCTAGGAGAAATCTACATTTTTAAAATAATTTATGTTTAACTCAACAACTTTAAAAACACACATAATCAATTTGGCCTCACAAATCACAAAATCTTGTTTAGTTTTTTTTTTTTTTTTCCAAGCAACAAGAGTAAACTTAATAGCAAGTGAAAGCAGTTTAGTTGACCCTGAGTAACTGCTAGTTTGCATAATTCTGAATAGATGTACATAAGCTTTCATTTGTATTCTTACATATTTATACTTACTAACACTCTGTTTCTAAAGACTGAGGAATAAAGAAGAAAGCGAATCACAAGAGAAAACTACCAACTTCGCCTAAAGCGTTTCCAACTTCAGAAGTCTGTGGCAGAGCTTGGGTCCAGAGTTATCTCCAAAACTTAAGGGGCTAGGTGTGGCTCTCCAGTCAAGAGCCTGCCTGGCATATACCAGGCTCTCGACTCCATGCCCAGCACTGCAATCAACACACAAGAACAAAACAAAACCCAAAGGAGGATCTTGGAGCTGAATAATCAGAACAATCATATGAGACTGATGTTAAATTATCTTTCCCGTTTTATTTTCCTACCGATAAAAATATAAAATTCAATAATCTGGAGTTCTTCAAAGGAAAACAAAACAAAACAAACCTTTAAAAAAATCCACCATGTTAGTAGCAGTGCTAGATTATTTTACCTAAAAGACACAAAAAAAAAAAAAAAAAAAAAAAACAA